TAGTTTTATCCCTTTCATACAAAGCAAAACACATCAATAGATGGCCTTTTATCACTAAAGTGTTATGAGCAAAGTATGCCAGTAAATGTTAAAGATTTGATGTGTTGAAATCTCTCAGAAGTCCTGTCTGAAGATAAATCCATGTGCATTAGTTACTAAACTGACTGCAAGAGTCTGAATGACTGAAGCTGCCTGTCCTTAAACCACAACCTGCAGTATAAAGCCAAATGAGCTACACACAGCATTTTATTCCTCACCAAAATGTGTAAAATTTCACCATTTTTCTACATTAACTGTAATGCTCCCGGCTCCGGGGCTGGCTCCACCTACCAGCACCCCTGACCACCTCCCACACCCGCAATCACCTTCATCGTTCCCACCTGTTTCCACCCCTACTTAAGCTCCGCTTCAGCCAGACCTCAATGCCAGAACGTCTCGAACCTTTACCGGTAAGAACTTCCAGCAATCATCATAGTTATCTGCCTGCCTGTGCTCCGACCTGTCTTCGCCTCCGTTTCCTGAGTCTGCCTTGCCCTCGTCTGATTTGTCTGCTTCCTGTCTGCCTCCCCGTGCATCGACCCCGCCTGCCTGACACCGAGTTCCCGCCTGCCCCTCTGGACTGATTCCCCGGCTCTGACCCTGGACTGGACCTGGACACTCTTGTTGGATTACCCTGAGACTGTCGCTTAAGTATTGCCCTCTTCGTTGCCGGACCCGGACTCCCTTGACCACGCCCCCGGATTATCCCTCTCGCCAGAATAAACTTTGTTTCAACTGACGTTCTGTCTTTGGGTGTTTTTGGGTTCCAAATCAGATCGTGACATTAACACATAATTTCATAACGTGACACCTCTAAAATATTTCAAGTTAAAATGACCAGATAAGTAAACTAAAACGTTATTTATATGTATTAAAACTAGGGCTGTCAAAATAACGCGTTAATTTCGATTAATTAATTTTAAAAAAATTAACGGATTAAAAAAAACAACGCATTAATCAATGTTTTATTGACCTTTGACCCGGAACCGTTCTGCTCAGTGACCGTTAGACCAGAGACGGTTGACCTTTATTACACTCGAAA